TCTAAAGACAGGTGTTGAATTACTTGAGGGACTACAATTCAAGCTCAGAATGATGGGCGTCCCAATCCAAGGTTATTGCCATACTTGTGTTGACAATATGTCGGTTGTCAAGAACTCAAGTGTCCCTAATCTCAATTGAATAAGAAATCGAACGCTGTCGCATATCACTATGTTCGCTCCAGATGCGCAATTGATATCCTACGAATTGAATGGATCATTTCCGCTGAGAACTTGGTCGATGTTTTAACCAAGATTCAAGCTGGAACCGTTCGCGACCGTCTTATGGAAGACATCATGTGGAAAGCAAAGCGAAATGGAAGACTTGCTCTTCTGACTTAAATTTTTGGAAACGTCTTCATCTGTCGCCGGATATTGTCAGTCTTGGACAGTATTGGATGATACGTCCTCCCAAGAAGGGGTACGGTTGATATTCGCCCAATTCGGAGTACAAGGTTCTCTGATACATCAGTATCACATTGAGGGGACCGTTAATTGGACCAGAGTGTCCGTCATTCGTACGTTTACATAGTTTAACCTAGAGATTCGCACTCGTTTTCGTCCCGAATCTCTCGTACCTCGCTACTCAATTTCACGGGCGTGCAGACGTTCAGTAACGGCTATCATCTGATGGACAAACAGACGACTTTCGACTGTACGTCGTCTTTTGATGTCCAATCAAAAAAGAAATGAAGCTATTATTTCGTAGTTGCAGTGCACACATATCATAATAAGGTTTTCATAATGAGATATTCGATTGCCCTTGCGGTCTTCCTATCGAGCGTCGATGCCTTCTCTCCTAGCTGGGTAGCCTCATCGTATAGTTCGAACATGGGCGCTCCATCGCATCAAAGTTCAGATCGACTGACAATCCTGTTTGCAAAGAAAAAAAAAGGAAACGCAAATGTGAATGCCAAAGTTGCCGCCCTTGAGGCCCTTGAAGCATTGGAGGGACAAGTCAATCTAGATGAACCAATGTCGAAAAAGGAGCAGAAGAAACTGGAGAAGCAGAAGGAGAAAGATGCAACGAAGAAGAATGCAAAAGAAGCTGCACTAGAGGCCCTCGACGCATTTGAGACCGAAGACATCGATGCACCATTGTCCTTGAAGGAACAGAAGGCACTAGCCAAGAATCAAATGAAGGTAGAAAAGAAGGGATTGGTGGAGCAGGACGGGAACGAAACTGAGCCTGGTGCTGCTACAAAGGTGCAGATGAGTAAGAAGGAGCAAATGTTAATGAAGGCGTTGGAGATGGAGAAGTTAGACGCAGAAAAGGCAGCGCCGCAGGAAGAGAATTCGGAACAAAAACTGTCGAAGAAAGAACTAAAGGCATTGAAGAAGAAGGAAGAGAAACAGGCTGCTAAATCTGCTGCAAAGGCGGAAAAGAAGCCAGCGAAGGAATCCAGCTCTGCAGAAACTGAAATTGGTTCCTCTGGAGATTCCACTGGCGAGACCACCCCGATCGCAGCTGAAGACAAAAGGCTTACCCTTGAGGACAAAATTAGGAAGGATAGACCTCCTCCTCGAATCCGTGTAATGGAAAGTTCGCAACCTGGATTCGTATCTCTTCGCTTGGAGAATGTTGGAATTACCTTTCGAAATCAAGAGGTGTTAAAGGACGTGACTTGGGGTGTGCAATCTGGCGATAGAATCGGTCTCGTGGGGAAAAATGGCGCAGGAAAGGTAAGGGAAAGTGCTTTACGCTCCACAACTGAATTTGTGACGCCGTACTGATACACATGCACTGCAATCATCTCGCTCTTGACACGTGTTGTACTCCAATATGGGATGAATCACAAAGACAACACAATTGCGTATTCTGTCTGGAGAACTGGAGCCTACAACTGGCGATGTCGTCAAGTCTTCTGGGAGTCTTCGGACAGCCATTTTGAGACAAGAGTTCGTTGACGAGTTGGTGAAGGAAAGAACGCTTAAGGAAGAATTCATCAGTGTATTTGAAGAAGAAAACCAAATCATTAAAGATTTGAAGGAAGTGGAAAGCAGACTTGAGAACATGTTCAGCGATGACACTGATAAGATGCAGGAAATCTTGGATCGAATGCAGGAGCTTCAGCAGAAAGCAGAAGATAAAAATGTTTATGTTTTGGAAAGCCGTGTGAAGAAAATTATGGATCTCATGGGGTTCACGGAAGACGAAGGAGAAGACCTCGTCGCCAGTTTTTCTGGAGGTTGGAAAATGAGAATTGGGTTGGGGAAAGTGCTACTTCAAGACCCCAATGTTCTTTTGCTTGGTAAGTTAGTCTCTTGTACACCCATTATTGGATATGCATTTTTCTCATTTCGGTAATATATAGATGAACCGACAAACCACTTGGATTTGGAGAGTGTGGAATGGATGGAATCATTCCTGAAAGAACAAAGCATTCCTATGATTATCGTCAGCCACGATCGCGAGTTCTTGGATCAAGTATGCACAAAAATAGTAGATGCTGAAGGTGGAATTTGTACCGAGTATGATGGAAACTACTCGCGCTTTCTCCAATTGAAGAAAGCTAGGATGGAATCCTGGCAAGCAGCCTATGATGCGCAAGAGAAGAAAATAAAGTCAGAGCGCCAGTGGATCAATAAATTCAAGGTCAAACAACCTCAAGCAGTGAAGCAGAGGCAAGCAAAGTTGGATAAATTTTTGAAAAGCGACGAGTATGTCCAGAAACCGCCTTTTGTAGGTAAGCCATTCAATTTCCGATTCCCTGATGCTCCAAGACTGAGTCCTGAAGTTGGAGAAGTTGTCGGGATGTCACATGCCTACAATAATGATATCTCCAACAACCGATTATTTGAGAATGCCAACCTTCTCGTAGAAAAAGGCGATCGTATTGCTGTAGTGGGACCCAATGGATGCGGAAAGTCGACTTTGTTGCGTCTGCTGACAGGAAAAGAAATCCCAGGTGAAGGTTCTGCACAAATTGTTGGAGCAAACATTGTAATGAGCTACTTTGAGCAGAATCAAGCAGACGCCCTTGACCTGGACAAGACAGTGCTGGAGACCATTCAAGGTGCTAGCGATGGCCAATCCTACAATGAACTTCGTGCTTTGCTTGGCCAGTTCCTTTTCAAGGGTGATGACGTGGAAAAGAAAGTGCTAAATCTAAGTGGAGGGGAAAAGGCAAGGCTGTCTCTCTGTTGTATGATGTTGAATTCTGCCAATCTTCTAATTCTCGACGAACCAACGAACCACTTGGGTAAGTTTCTTGCTCAACAAGCAAGATAGTCATATTTGCTTTGGACACCAGCTAACCAGTTGTGTAGACATTCCAGCAAAAGAAATGCTGGAAGAGGCTCTGCAACACTTTGCTGGGTCGGTGATAGTCGTTTCGCATGACCGATACTTCATTTCCAAAGTTGCCACAACCATTGTGGCGATCGAGGATAAGAATCTCTTCAAGTACCAAGGAGACTACAAGACATACATGAATGCGAGCAAAGACAGAAAAGAAAAGATAGAATCTCGATATGTCCCAGGAGCTGACAAGATTGGATCTGCGCCAGTCGTCGATTTAGAGGAACTGACCAAGCCCAAACGAAATTTTGGTGGAGCAAAGACTGCAGGTATGGTTACCAGGAAAAATAAAGGTGTCAAGAATGCCAAGCGCGCGCGGCCTACATAGAATGAGATAACAGCTTTAGTTTCAGAATGAAATGAGAAATCACTAATTTTCTATTGATGAGATGCATTCAGCCAGAACCTGCAATTCTTGATCAGTGGAAAAACTGCTTTGCATGGCCTCCTTCGCGCCACCGTTGAAGTGTCTCACTTCACGAACAATCCGAAATACGATCTCGTTATGTTGTGCATGTCCTTGCTCTGGTACAGGAATACGAATGCCGTGTCCCTTTTGCCAGAAATGAGATCCAACGAATGCACATATTCCGTAAATGCCAAAGGCCAACCACAACATTGCAAATGAGAGCACGAACAAAGAGCCAAGAAGAGACATCTTTCGTGGTTGTTTTGAGGACGAGTGATCAGTGCCTGATATGTGCCTTTCTTGTGCAGTGCATTCCATTTGTCCTTTGAGTTTTTCTACTTTTGCTCGGAGTATCTGAGCTTGCTTTCCCTCGTCTCTTCTTCGTCCCATTGTACTGTACAAGGAGGCTGCAAAAGGTTTTCCGCTATATTTGCTCCTGTTCTTCTCTAAGAACGTGTCCAGAGTTTTGTAGAACCGTTGAACGGGAGGGTCTGTATTAGTTTGGTGCACCGCATCATGTATAGAATTTCTTGAATTCCTTTGTCGCCAATATTTGCCCCCGTCCTCAAAATCTTCGATGTCATTTGTCTGTACCTCTGATATCCCTTCGGTGGTTACGACATCCTCGTTTCCTGAAGCTTCACGTGACAAGGCAGAAGCACTTGTATCAGGATACACATTGCTTCGTAGGTAGTCGACATCCACAGTCTCGCTTCTATTTTTCAGATTTGATACATGGTTTGTTTCTCCTTGTTGGGGCAGTTCGGCACCATTTGGTACTGAGGGTCTGATTGAACAGTCCACACGACCTAGACAACTCAGAATAACTTGTTCAACAGTCGGTTGATTGGGTAGATCAGACACCTGTAGGGGCGACAAATAGGTTTCCCGATTCTCATCATTTCTATGAAGGCGATTCTTTGGCTGTAATGAAAAGTGTATGTCCTCCAACGCATAGCATAGATGGGCAGTGACTTCAGCGAAGGCCAGCGTAGCAGCTGGGTCTGATCCCATTTCAATGCCATCTTGAACTGCGCCCTTTGTGGAATGAAAAAGCTGCTTCGTCTTCCCACTGGCTGCCAAGTCTACCATCCGACAAGCTAGCAGTGCAACATGGTCTATCAATATATGAACTTCTTGTGTGCTGCATCGTGTTAGTGCCTGCACTGGAACAAGGAGAGATCGAGTCCAACTTACTTACTTCAAAGCATTGAAGAACTTGACACCAAATGCCATAGTATCAATCAACATATTTCTTGTCTCCGGGGCACTTGTAACCAACGCAATGTCTTGCATTACATTAAGGAAACTGGAAGAAAAGTGTTTGCCGCCTTTGGTTGATCTTATCACAGAAACAAGATGATGAATGCTGGAACTTAAAATTCGAAACCAGTCCTTCAATCTGTGTGGTACGACTGTATCAAGAATGTCAACTAAGAGTCCCAACAAACTTGGAAGTATGACTGTCTTTGTAACATGCAGTGGAGGTGCAATTAGCTGACCAGTAGTTGACAACGTAGCGCCCGCAGCTGTATTCAAGCCATCCATTATTCTTGCGCTCAACCAGCTTTTGAATGTCTCCTGTTCCTTATTACTAATTTTATTCGACTCGTGGTTTGCCGATCGATTTCCTCTCGTTTCAGTAGAGCTATCTGCTTGATTGATGCTATGCACTCCAGATATCGTATCACGATCATGCTCTCGATCAACAAATCCACGTTCAACGCCACTACGCAATCGAGGATTTTCTGCACTAGCACTATTTTTATTTGCTCTGACGCGAGTCGCAACATGCCCAACCGAAGAATCTTCAAGGTCAGTTTCTTGCTCAGCTATCATCGCTCCAGTTTTTGCATTTGCTTTTGGTATTTTGAAAGATTCCAGCGGGACTGAAATGTGTTGGCGCTATGATTAAAAAAACGGTCAAGAGAAGATTCATTCCTTTATGATGGTTATGATGGTCGCTACTGGAATATCACCGAGTGGAAATTACCATTCAAGCCAAACTGCGAATGTGTCATCAGGGAGGGAAACAATCAATCGTTTATCTCCTTGTCCTCAGCAGCCGCATCGATTCAGGACTAATCGGCATACCCTCGATTAGCACAACAGAATCAATCATCTATCTCCTTCTCCTCCGCCGCATCGATTCAGGACGGATCAGCATACTTTCGACAAGCCAAGCTTCATCCTCATCCTTATCGCGACGCTCAGAAGTCAAAATAAAGTTGCAGGACGTAAAGTCCTTTGGCCCAGGTCCGACTCTGAGTCTTGCTGTCAAGAATGCTTTCGTTCCATCAAAAGCATATTTTCCTTTATCAATCATCTGTACGATGTCAGCAACGATGGCGTTCGCCAAATGTCACACAAAATAAGACAGAAATTTGAAAAAAATGTTTGAAGGTCGCATTGGTTGGATCGCTGTACTTACTACTTCTTGATGGTCAAAAAGAACCTTGTATTCAGTCTCCTTCAAAAAATCCGCATACTCCTTGTGTGTGAGGCCTTCCTCATTCATAATTTGAGAGCTGGAAGAACTATATCCAAATAGAATTTCAACGCCTTTATTTGGAGTTGGATTATCATTATTTTTCAGTACTTCAAGTATTAGCAAGACAACTTCTCCTGCCTTTCAATAGGAAAGTAGGCGTGTTAGCACTTGCAAAATGGAAGTTTCGTCTCGTGAAAACGTCAAACTAACTTACTGTAAGATCGACCTGTACAACGAAGTTAGAAGAAAAAGACATATTTGGCAGTTGGTCTTCCATATTTACCGCAACAGCCACTTACGTCTGGAACCACTGATGGTGGTTCGTAAACCTTTGGAGCCGAATCATCTTCATCTTCCTCGTCTTCCCTGGGACCACCAACAAGCTCGACAAATCCACCGGCAGTATCTAATACGCGCTCCTTGACTTCGCTGTAGAGTTGATCGTCCGTTAGGCTCACATTACCAGCCAACTTGTCGCCAACTTCACCAGTATCGTATCCAAGAAAAGCGTTGATTGCCCCTTGTGGAATGTTGGGTTCTTCTTCGTCTTCGTCGCCACCATCTTCCACGTAGTCCGAGGAATCGAGGCTGATGCCTTTGGCTTGTGCCATCTTGAAGAACTCAGCTGCTAGATCAGAGCCTTCGGCGTCAGGTCTTGTGTCATCATCATTAGGATTTGCCATTTTCAAAGCAGTAACAGCTGCAGCTCGACTGCATTTTCGGGGACTTTGTAGAGAAAAGGAGAATGCTGTAGAATATTTACATGAATATAGTTGTAGAGTTACCAACAAAAGCAACACTTTGGATCTCATGCTTCGCATCATGGTCATATTTTTATTGTCAGTTTGTCACCCCGTCTGAAGCATTTTGGGTTCTCTGCCTATTGTAGTACCAGGAGTACTGGTATTATACGTTCGAACGTGTCGTACACGGGCAGTATTGACATGCTTGCTTGAGTGTACACGGGCTACAGTGGCACCTGGTACTGCACCAGTTCCAGTGGTGTTGACAAAGTCGACCAAACAAGGGCAAGGGGACATTCACCTGTTGCTCTGTGTGTTACAACAAAGACACTTAAAATGTCTAACTTTGACGAAGACTTTTTCAAAGATCTCTTGAGGGAAGAACGAGAAGAATGCCTCAAAGGCCCAGGTATCGATTTGGACCTTCACGAACAGTTTGTTGAAGCATGTCAAGCGTTTCAGGATGCTAAAGATGCAAAAGATGCTGCGGAAGCTGACCTAGAAGAATCGACAAGAGCTGGTGACACGGCAGCAAAGGCTGAAGCACAGGAGATGTTGACAATGTGGAGTAAAGCGCTGAAAGATTCGCTCCAATCTTGCGTCGATGCAGCCAAACCAATTCTTGAGGCTGTGGACTTGACTGAATATGACTTGGAAATGTCCCTCCTGCGAACTGCGATTCTGACGAGAGCAACATCTAAGGGGCTGGCTAAGTTTGCCAATGATAGCGACTTGAATGGACAACTAATTGAGACTCTTTTGAATAACAAAAAGATCATGAAGGAGATGATCCTACATGGAGGAGCAAGAAAGAATGAATTTGGAATGTGCATGAAGTTGTATACTCAGATAATGGCTGGTATTGAAAAGGATAGATTTCACAAAGTTAACAAGAAACTGGCAATGGCTGCCGCGCTGGAATTTTGTTCCAAGCAATCTGAGTTTGACACTTCTGTCGATGTTAATGCACAAAAACGCTTCTCCCACTATGACAAGGCTCATCGCAAAGGGGAGCTGGATCCTGCGTTCACTCACTTTACGACTTGGGAGTATCGAATGGCAATAAGCAGCGATGCGCCGAACGAGCAGCTGAAGTGGGGACGGAAGATGCAAATGAATTTCTGTCCGCACATTGCCACCATCTACAATGAAAAGTTCCGCTACTGCTACCAGGTTTCGAGTGATGTGGGCTATCGTGACCCGACCTGGACTTCTTCACCCAGAACTTATCAGCAGGTTCTGAGTGGCGGTGGTAGAGAGGGGCCCCGAGCCTGGTTTGGCCGCTATATTTGTAGGGCATTTGGCATACCTGTGTGGGGTGCAAAACAACCGGGAAATATGTCAATGGCAAGATGGACTCCGAAAGGATGGGAATTTTATCTTGGTAAAGATGGTGACTGGGACATTAGTTCATGGGAAGATCGATCGGGTGTTGACTTTTACGAGGAATGTCGAGCACGTAGCGCTGTGAGTGAGCAAGAGTACTTTGAGAGAGTAGTCTTACTTGAGTGTTTGGCCGATGCTTGCAAAGAGAAAAACAAGAAACCAGAGGAAACAGGATTCGTGAATCCGAACAAGGTATGGAGGTCTCTCGCTTTAATGCAACGGAGAATTTTTGCGGAAAGTTGCACGGAAGATTCATTTCAGCGAACAGGCCCAGGAGTAGTAGTGTCCAAAATCGAAAAGTACATTCAAGAAATTGACGAACAAAATCCACGACTTCCCATCGAACAAGACAAAAAGGGGGTGATCGTAATTCCAGCGAGCTCATTCACGTCCTCTAGTGATGATAGGCACGTGAGAAATATGAAGTCCTTTGGTGGTGGTTCCCAGCTTCATCTTGCGGACGGAGAGGGCTACGTAACCTACGATATCCCAAGTGAAATTAGCATCGCACCAGACAAGAAGTATATGTTATCAGCTAAGGTATGCAGTGTGCACCTTGAACAACAGCCTTTGCAATTTGAAGTTAACGGTGGAGAGACATTTTGTCTCGAGGTTCCATACACCGTTGGAGAATGGGGAACTTCGGAGCAAACAGAAGTCGCCATTGGGGGTATGAAGAAGCTGAAAGTTTTTCGCAAGTCCTCCCCGACCTGTTTTGGATTGTCGATTCAGAGCTTTACATTAACACCGTATTAATCTGTTGCAAGATTATAGACGAATTGCCCTTATCTGTATGTTCTGTGTTGAGGGTGGAATAGCAATTGTTCTTTTTAAATAATACATCATATTGAACTATTTATTGGCTAGAGTAGAAGGTCACTAGTTGGTGATCCAGTGCATCGAGCTTTGAAACTTTGTGTTTTCCAAGTTTTGGCTGCATTTAGAGCACCTTCGTCGTCTTTCCTTTGGTGCTTCAAAGTCCATTTCAACAAAGTCTGCTTGATCATCTGGACATTCGGATTGCTTCATAGTTAAAATCCAAAGAGAAAGTCACGGCATGTGATTTCCTCCGCACAAAGCTTGGCCTTGCATTATTGAGTAATCCAAAGCTGTTTTGAAAAATCATTCGAGTCTGCTTGGCAATCAAAGTCTATGTCCAATCAATGGTTCACCATATTTGTGAATCGTAAACAACTTTCTTCTGTGATGATTTTGGTTGTGCCGGTTGCCATTCTGGCTGCTGGAAACCTTTGGACTGATCATGATAATCACGACTTGGCTCAATGTGTTGAGCAGAATTCTGATGCACTCCCGCTTCGCCTGCCTTCTGGCGGCGCCTCGATAAATGAAGACTTCCCAGCAAAGAATTCACATTTTGGTAGCCTGCATGACCCTCTTTGGGGTGGGCTGGAAAATCTCGCTCACTAGACTGCTGACCAGTGCTTTGATGCGGCTGTAGGGGGGAAGCAAGAGTGTTGGTCGGACTGCATACTGACGACATGATCGAACAATCATCTTCCAACCGTGAATACGGTGAATTCTCTCCTTCTGAGTTGTGAAATCTTAGCCCATGCTCAGTTTTGGCTCGCTTTGAAGATGGAGGGTAAAGCTGGTCAACATCCATCTGAAGGAGTCCGTTCCTCTGGCGTTTCAAGCCCTTCGGTTTGGGATGATCTCTTTGATACCACATCACCCTTTTCAAATCACGTACACAACCAATCAAATGATGTTATCATGCGATATCGTATGTAGGTGATAAAACAATACAGCAAGGTTAGGTTCAGTTCAGTCCCATGCATTTTTGTTCTCTGAATTATTTCCACGCTCGTTGCGAACTCTCGACATGCGCGCCAGCCCGTTTCGCAGACGGCAAAGCGAGGACACTTCACCTCCTATTTCATTCATTCATTGTAGTTATCCATTCTTCATAACCAAGGAACATGATTCTTCGTCAAAGACTGCAAGTGCTAACGCTCCTTTTCCTCTCGCTGCTTGCATTCGCTTCCTATCATGAATACACCGGGGGTGTTGCATGGCTACAATATTTGGCGCTGATCACCATTCTATCTTTCATGTTTGTCTTCGACGTGGCCTTCACAAATGATTCACAATTTATCTTCGACCCGGATGCGGATAATTGGAGACGCAAAGTGGTACGTAAAGTTAACGATGCATTAATTCATCCTCATGTTCTCTGTGGCTAAACTTGAAGATGTGCTTTCCCATCAGGAATCACTTCAAGGTTAGGTTGGAATGTTGAATCCCGGCTCAAGAGTCAGTCATGCATGTGCTGTTGGGCATTTTATTCAGGTGGCACTGTCTGTTGGGCATTTTATTCAGGTGGCACTGTAGGATGGATCGATTCTTCAAAGTCACTTGCTTGAAAGAGAATCGAAGCGTTGAGGAAGTAAACAAAATAGAATGCAATTTACTCTTTTTGACGAGGGGTTATGGGTCCATGTTATCGACATGAAATGAATGGAAATGTTAAGTTCTTCCACTTGGGTAAATTGGCTTCTTGTCTTCACTTGTCGGGGTGAGAATCGCACACCTTAGTTGGTACTTCTTCTTCACGATTTGTTTGTCTGTGCTTCGTCGATGAAAGCGATTTATCAAGCAAATGGAGTTTCTCCCATAGTCGCACTTTTTATGATTGGTTGCCGCACAATCAATCCTTTTGTTTGTTCGACACATGTCGGACTAGTTTTCACTGCTGGATTCAAATATAAAACTTCCATATTCTTCAGGAACAACGATGTAGCAACAAGAACTTGACTCGCATTTCTTGCTGATTGCAAAAAGTGGGCGATCTTTTTGACAAATTTCTGTCAAGATCATGTACTTCTCTTTATTTGAATCTGAGAATACAATGTCATGGAAGCGTTGCTCCATCTCTTCGCGATATGCGGAGTAAGAGCCAGATTCAGGGGTTTCTATCATCCGGGCGAGTAATTGGGCCGGCACAATGGCCATGTCATCTTCATGTGTCATGTTCCTTGGGTGTAGGTACATATCAATTGATAAACTCGATGGGCTCGCAGCCGATCGAACAACAATGCCTTTACCTTTGGTCAGAAGTAGAGGCGACTCCAAAAGTTCAACAGAGTTGAGGAAAAATCCTTCCGTTTTGGTAACGCTCATCATACACCACATGATCAAATCATTTTTTCGTTCAGCGCTGCTTGACTTGTATACAGATTCAAAATCGTGCCCACATATTTGTCTCTCGATCAGCATGCTTGCTGAAGATTCATCCCATGTCTTTAGATATGTCTTGTAGCTGCCACTCCTTTGCCGCAGCACCCTTCTGCTGTTCACCATCTTAATCACCGCCTTCCGCGCATTCTCATTATGTGGCGTGGCAATGGAATAAGTTCGAAAGAAACGAGGCAGGTCCGATTCTATCTTTATGCCAGGAGGATAAATAGATGTCAATCGAAAGGGGCGAACTTTTGGTCTTGGTTTACCGAAAAGAAATTTCGGACGAGTATGATTGAGCACAGCTGCAAGTGTAAGAAGAATGGCTGTGCCAACGACAATGTAGAACTTCAACATATAAGCGGACACATTGGAGCTGGTTCTGCTTATGCTTTTCTTCATCTGCTGTTTCTCCCTGACTTCCTTTGCATGCGATCGGAGGAACTGTGCCCTACGTTGACGAAGTTGCCCTTGTACATATTTCGGATCCTCTGACATCTTGGTCCACCTGTCGATTGCTAAAATGCCTGTGTTATGTCAACAAGACCCACTTGATTGGTACAACTATGATGTTCACGCTTTCGTGTTTGTTGAGCAAATCCATTTTCATTTCCGTCACAATTATTATTTTGGAAATTTAATACAGAAAATGGACTCCTACTGATATAGAGAAAATGGTGTTTTTTGTATTGAAGTTTAGAGTTTCTTTTCATATTGCACATTACAGTTTCCACGTGGGCCTACCACCATGTCGTTGTAGCCAATGGAAGGCAGCTTCGAAGACTCTGGTGTAAGAGTATAGTGCTTCAAAATGACAGATAGAATGGTCTTCACTTGCACAAAAGCAAACACCTGTCCCATGCAGGAATGCATACCACCCCCAAATCCAAGATACGCATAGGGTTGTTTGTGCTCTTCTCGAGGTGCCGCAAAGCGATCTGGCTCAAACTGGTCTGCATTCTTGAAAGTCGATTCAAGTCTCATAGAAACTGTAGGAGAAACTACTACAATATCATCCTTCGGAATTGTGAATGTTTTGTTGTCGACAGTAATTCTTGTTTCCTTCATGACCTTACGAAGCAACATGATGAACGTTGGACACATACGCAACGCTTCTCGCATCGAATTGTGCAAAAGCTCCATCTGTTGAATGTCCTCCAGTTCAAGGGTCTCTTTTCTAGGATCCAAAATTTTTTCTTGCTCTTGCAAAACACGGTCGAGAACAGCTGGGTTGTGCAATAAAAGTAGCATTGTCCAAGTGCTCGTAGTGCAAGAGGTGTGTTGACCAGCAAATAGAAGAGCAATCAATAGACCTGTAACTTCTTCATCAGTTGCTGGTTTTCCATCTTTATATTTCATGTCCATGAATAGACTGAGAATATCTGATCCATCGTTCCTCTCCGGGTGTTCACGCCTCTCTTTGATCACCTTTCCGAATAATTTCACCAGTTCTTTACGAGCTTTATCGCGTCGCCGATGCTCTGGAGTTGGTGCAGTACTCCATAGAACTGTGAGCGGAGTCAATCCTTCGTCTAAATCGTGGTACAGGGAATGCAAGTCAGCAAACATATGTTCACGAACATCATCTCCATGCAGGCATCTTGAAGCGGTCAAGATAGTTAGTTCACTGAGAGCCTTGTACAGATCAACGGTGCCCGTTTTCTTGTTCCATTTTTCTCCAATGTACTGCAAAGTTTCCTTTTGAATCTTTGCAACGTAGGTTTTCATGCGAGAAGTCCGCAAACCATTGGCCATAGTTTGAAATTGAACTTGGCGCTTACGTTTAGGAGCATCGTACACAACATTTGGTCCAAACACCGATTGCATGAAGTGGTATGGCTCGTCTTGACTCAAAATATCGTCATTCGCTTTGAAGAAGAGCTGTTGGGCTTCCGGCCCAATTAGGAAGGTCATGCGTCTATGAAAAATCTGTGAAAGCAGGGGATTGAGAACGCTGCAAATATTCGATGATTGGCTATTATTGAGTACTTCTTACAGGGATTGTGAAGACCTTCCCATAATCATTGTAACATCGTCTCATCATGTCATTGGGCGACTTCAGGAATTCAGACACAACACCGATGAATGGCAGTGGGACGACAGAACTTTCTGTGACCAAAGGAGGAGCATCTTTACCACCCTTTCTAGGGCGCAAGAAGAACCACCAAACGGCAATCAGCCCAAAACAGATCCAGATATACAGCTCCATGTCGATGTGAGCAAACAGTTGTGAGCTTTGGGTCGTCGTAATTTTAAAAAATAGTAAAATACTGTACACTCTGGGTCGTACCTACAGTACAGTACTGTGCGTGTATGTACGCACCCATTTTCAGACTTGTGTGTTTTTGAAAATGGATCATTTTTATGCCTGCATGATTCCCTATTCCGTCAGTCCAAAACCACAGAAAAGAAAAACAACTTTTAAAATTGTACTTCATTCCACCTCGTTACGACACGATGTCTCGTCCAGAATTATCAGGCCACGCCTCTATTTTCTACAATGAAAGAGAGGCACGAAAATATAACTCGTCCTCGCGTATGGTAAATGTGCAAAGAGAGATCACTCTTCGAGCAATCGAGCTTTTGCTCTTGTCCCCAGATAAGGCGTCATACATTTTAGACATTGGATGTGGTAGTGGGCTCAGTGGTCAGGTTTTGGAAGAAAAAGGGCACATTTGGGTAGGATGTGATGTTTCAAGAGACATGCTTCAGGTCGCTCATGAGAGGATTGATGATTCTTTCGATGGGAACAACAAAAATGTCGAAAACGACGAAGGCAGCGATGAGGTTCACGACCCACCGCTATCCACCGGAGACTTATTACATCATGTAAGATTTCCATTGATTTTTCCCTTATTTTATGAAACGTTATTGATTGCTCAAATTCCTTCGCACTGAATAAAAGGACATGGGAACCGGACTGCCCTTTCGACCTGCCACGTTTGATGCCTGCATTTCTATTTCCGCACTTCAGTGGTTATGCTACAGCAACTCTGCTTCCCAGAATCCGAAGCGCCGGCTTCTTCGTTTCTTCTCACAGCTGTATGCTATTCTGAAGAAGAGTGCTCGTGCCGTTTTGCAGTTTTACCCGGAGACCGCTGAGCAAGCTGTTCTCATCAGTGAATGTGCTACAGCGGTTGGGTTTGGTGGAGGAGTTGTTGTAGATTATCCGAACTCTACGAAAGCAAAGAAACATTACCTCGTATTGAGCTGTGATCGAACTTCTAGTAAACAAGTTCAACAATCTATGCCATCTGTTGAGGAGCAAACTCATGTCAGCGTTTCCGCAGCGTCGAGGAAAGGGATAGATAAACCTATTCGAAAGAAGAAAGGGATCAAAACAAAAGAATGGATCATCAAAAAGAAAGAAACACAGAGAAAGAGAGGAAAGAGTGTCCGACCTGATACGAAGTATACGGCCAGGCGTCGTCCCACAAAGTTCTAGTTTCAATCTAGCATGTTTCCTGCATTCCTGTCTGGGCAAAAGAACCGAGTAAAATCTAACTTTACTGTATTGTGGCTTCATAGACCATGTGGGGGGGGGAGATTGCATAAACATGACATTTACTAGCACTCTTTGTGTTCACTGAGAAACATATGGTCGAAGAGCAATTTCAATTAGACATCATCTTTGCGACAGGAATGATGCAATATTTGTATGACGTCGACTAGCGCAGGAAAGTATGCGCAGTATATTGGACGCACTACTTGCTTAGATTATTCAGTCTCTGCAACGAGCATAGAGGATGGTTCCACACTTCCCAGCGGCGACTCATTGATCTTCTCCCTGCCCCGCGTCTAATCATGTTTGTCTTGGACTGTAATGTAGAAGATGATTCTTTGCGACTAGAATCACAAGACAAATGTACCAAAGCTTCACATAGCGGTTTCCCGGTATTCACGCCACCCGCGTATGGACTAAAATGCAAACTAATACTTGGGCTGACCATGCCCTCGTCCGCGCTACCTGAACTCAACGAGAAATCAGCCTCAAGACTATTGCTCTGTGTCGAAACTGAGTCTAATCCATAGGTTGCAGCAGGCGGGTCGCCGCTGTGGTTCGATGTGATTGACTTCTCGGCCTCATCACAATCGTCATTGGCAGTGCTCACGGGAGTTCTGGGGCAGCTGCTTGGCTGTTCTTCCGTGTTCCCTTGACTCCCAGTGAAATCAGCACTAAAGCGTTGACTCTGGGTAGAAGGTGGAGCTGCAGCATTGGGCGATGTACTCTTTGAGAAGGAGGTAGAATCTCTTTCGGCACTCCCTACTCTACATTGTGACGTCAAGAGCTCATCATCATTTTTTTTACTCTCATCACTCTCGCTAGCAGTTGATTTCCCACAAGCATTTGTCGAGCTGTATTTCCTACGATTGATTGCAACACCCAGTTCCGCCTTCTGAAGGAGATGACGGCCCCGAACCGAGTCGCGAAATTCCATCATAGATCTTGAGTCGACTGCATTAGAAACTTGTGTTTCGCTTGCCACCTGGATACGTGGAGGAGTTGAAGGAGGAGTCCCAATGTTCCAGACTTCTTCTCGGGTTTCAATTTGAAGCCGCTCGCAGATAGCAAGTGCATTTGGTTCTTCCGCTGGCGACGTTTGCTGTTGTTTTCTATGGTCTCTATGGAAAATCCATGAATGTGAATCTGAACATCTTTCCATGACAGAATTACAGGTCGGAGCAACAGCTGATTTTTTGTCTGGTGTCATAAGTTGTGCTGTCTTTCGATCGGAAAATTGGTCATTCTCCCTACGAGAAGAACTTTCTGACATGCTTGAGCTCTCTGTGCTTGCTGTTCGGGTTTTGGACAACACATTGCTATAGTTCGGAGTGTCAACAACATAAGCATGTCTGAAGATGGAGCCCCTATCTTCTGGCAGATACGTGTCGACTTTCTCGGTGCAAGAAAACACGGAGCGCTGTGTGCACCGGAGATTTACTTCGCTGGTGGAACCCACAGGTAAGTAATCTCTATCAGATACAGTAGATGGATCTGAAATACATTTCGTGCCAGGGTATCTGCCAGATGCCTTACACTTAATGAAAGCCTCGGCAGTATTTCGGTTGTTTTTCACTGCTTCATCTTTCTTCTCAATCGCTTGCATATTTGAATCACCTCCGAAGCTTGCTGATTGACGGCTATCTTGGAAATAAGGTGATAAATTGATGCCGTCTTTATCACGTTCAAGTCTTGAAGATGAATCAAGCGCCATCTGAATAGCGCTGAATAGGCTGCCCTCCTCTGATCTCTCCATGTATTTCATTTCTAATGTCGATCTGGTTTGCACGTTTTGGCTCTGCTGCTGCAATTCAAAATCAAACGTATCATTATTCGCATTTTTATCCCGCGTCATCACACATACAGAATCCACACATTTTGGGGCGACTTTAAGAAATTTCGAAGCAGTGTCGGTTGATCTGGGACCTGTGAATGTTCTTGGTGTGAGATGAGGCGAGCAAAACGGTTCTGTCCATGAACTCTCCATAGCACTTGACGAATCTTCAACATCCATAGTTTGGCTAATGCCATATCCTCCTGTTATAATCTGGCGTTTCAAATCATCGATTGGCGTGTCATCTGGATATCTCTTTTCACTTTCGTAACTTGTCACCAATTCTGACATGCTTTTCTCAAGCCGCTTCTTCTGAATCGGCGCTCTGTTCACCACATTACGTTGTTTCCTTTTGGTGGTTGTATGATCAGCTGATATGGCGTCTTTCTCCATCACAACATCAACATCACCTTGGTTTTTTTTCAATACTTTCCTTGGGAGAATGATGGGGCAGTGCCATGTCGAACCAAAATCAGGGTGGACATAAAATGGTCTTTTTTGAGTTTCAGAGACGATTATCTCCCAACCAGAAGGCAGTTGCGGATGTAGATATATCTTGCCATCAATCTTGAGATGAAGAGGGGAGCTGGGGTTGCCTTCTACTGACCAAACTTGCAATTGATAATCTGTATTCTGCGCTTCTATTTCTTTTGAGTCAATGCTCGCAGTGCTCTTGGAGCTTTTTGTAAAATAGCCACCGTGTGATGGCTGTGTGGAGTTGGCGTTAGATTTGTACTGCGGCTCGTATTCTCTGCCTTGTAGATTCCATTTCGCACTGCGAATTCGACAAGGTGATGAGACCGCGAGTTCGCTTTCTTCCGTTGATTCAAATTGGCCGGGTAGCTTGCTTCCAATAGTACAGTTGCTGGGAATTGTGGCATTGAGGGATCGACGGAATGATCTGTGACCGTCTAACCTTCCATGGACATCTCCCTGACGTGCACTGGATTTGAAATAGTCATGTTGAACTTCATGAGACGACAGTTTGTCTTTCTCAACATATCTTGCAATGCGAAAATCAGACTCAGATCCAATATTTTGATCAAAATATCCCTTGGCGCTTGGTAAAGTCTGCATAGTTCCCCGTTCGTTTCTCAGAGTAGGCTTCCATTGCCCCTTTCTTGCTTCTGTGTCTCCGATAATCTTGAAGTTGTTGTTCTCCTTGACTTGATCATATTGCAGTTGATTGCAGCGATTTCGGAATGACAATGTACCGTTCCGCGAGGCCGAAAATTCGTTAGCCTTACCTTCACGCTCTTCCGGAAATCGCTTTTTTTCACCACACTGAGAGTTGTTCTCAATCCACTGTCCTTTAGTTAGTCCATCTGATAGGTTGGAGGTTCGCGGAGTTTTCGATCCTCGAACCGATCCCAGAACCAATCCCCTTCCCCCCAACACTTTTGGGTCAGTACCAATCGACCGCGTAATTTTTGAGAGGCAATTTCCATCAATCTTGGTAAGTACCTTGCGCTTCTTCATTGTGTCGCAGTCTTATGTTAAAATGGAATAATAGTTTTCTTGGGAGTCTAAAGTGCTGCTACTGCACAGTACCTTTTGAAAATGAATAGCAACAACGGTACTTTTTCACCTATTTTGGAATTCATTCGAACTAATCAAATATCGGAAGTCGAAGTGATCAATGGCATCAATTGATGATTGATTACTTTTTCATCCCATGAACAGCATTTCTCCACAACCTCAGAGTAACAACCACATACTGTAGAACAAGCGACAACCCTGTCCACTTCGAAAAAAATGCCAAGGAGCCAAGCCCCTAACCCTGAAAGACAGCTCATGATCAAGACAAAGGCGTGTCAACGGTAAGGGATTGAGTTCAGGTCTGCTGAAAATTTCTTTGAAAAACGCCTAATGACTCCAATAACGCAATTCCGAACATCAAATCGACTCTCTCTGCCTTTGTTTCCAGTCTGATAAAGGAAGTGGATTATTACCACAAAGAAGTCAAAGAAAATGAAGCTAAGCTGGAAGACATGAAATCTGCAAACCGAGACCCATATGATATCAAGAAATTCCAAGAGGTGCTAGACGAAAGCTACATGATGGTGCCGGACAGCAAAAATCGTTTGCAAAAATCGCTTCAAGATCTGGCTGCGTTCTTAGATGGTAGCGACGCAGCAGCAGTTGCACCGAGTCAATGGTATAGAGAAGCTAAGGAACTATTGAAGACTGTAGAATTGCTACATGACGCTGAGAATGATTTGAAGGAAACAGATTTAACAGGAATAATTGAGAATGAGGTTTTTTAAGCCCTCTCCATTTGACTGCAAACTATAAATTTCAAACCGACTTGTACGAATTGTATTGTGGTCCAAATCATATCTCGCCGAGCTTGAACAAGCCCACAACTCCACCATCAATTGAGCCGTTTGGATCAAGATTCCATTCCGGGTCATCCAAATCTATCTCAGAAAGCGGTATCGTCTTTGGCTGTCGCTCCTCCATGTTGCTCTCAACAACAATGCCATTAGAGGCGACGCCCTCTCCATAACACTTGTGTTTGCATTTCATTTCTGTACACGTGTACCTGCTTCGCCATCTGGACTCTGAGTTCTTGTGAATTGGTTCTATGCCTTGATAGCACTCAACCACTTCTCCAATTACAAAGTCAATGTGGGCAACGCCATCCTTTGGATGATGAATTATTGCCTTATGTCCACACTGGCCATCCAGACGATGAACGTGGAAGCCATCCGAACTTTGAAAGTTGGAAGAATCCCTCTCGTCGGCTTTCGCTCTCCCAGTCGCACTGTCAGGATTTTTAACAGTCGAATCAGATCCACGAGACGAAGTGCTCGCATCTCTGTTCCCTTCAGAACCTGAAGCGTCAGTGTGGGGCTCTATCGGAGGGTCGCGAACTGTCGGATTTCTCCTCATCAAAGCTTGGAGCCGTCGCCCTTCAGCTTGCCACGCTTTCAGAGCAAAGTTGAGATATTCCTCCGAGCTCTGTTGGCAGCGCTTTGGATCGATTCCAGCTGTAAGCATACACTTGCTATAGAGAGCCTTGCTTTCAACCTCGTATAAATGAAGAGCCAACGCATCTTGCTTTTTAGCAGTTGCACTATCATCTACACCAAGAATTATTTTGGATAGATTCGCTGGATTCGACGATAGCGACATTGCCAGCTGTTCAAGAGTCAACCCAACAGCCTGTGCTGATGCCGCCAGAGACGAAATAGCAACTGCTGAGGCCCTTGGTTGTGAAGTGTGATTGCAGTTGAAAACATTCCCAAGAGGCTGGGAAACCAAGGGCAATTCGTCGAAGTTTAAATTCCCTACTCCCAAAGGTGGATTGAACGAAGCAGCATTCTTGTTATCCTCTGGCTGCTGATTTGGAACACAATTTGCTGTTGAATATGCGTGTGGTATGTTACTGTTTTGGCTGTGCTTAGCGATGCCTGTGCTGCCAAATGGATTTCGGACACTTGCAGAAGGTGGTACAAAGAGTGGAGCATATTCTGGATGATACTTTGCAATCCTGGGGCGCTTTGACTGCTCGTCTATATGATCTTCGCCGTCATCATCTGAAAGCCCATTCAGAACTGGGCCGTCGCGTTTCATTTGTAGAGCAAGAGCACCAATATTGCTAGGTTTTGAGGCCGTGAGTTCCTGGTCTCGTGGCATCGTATGTGCTCCGGAAAATGTAGGAAGGCTTGATTTGTCGTCTGGCTTGACATCTGTGCAATTCTTTCGTGCCAATCGTAGACGGCGACTTAGCTGATTCTTGCGCTGTCCAAGAGTTACTTTCTCGGCGTCCATTATAGACGAGTCATCATTTGATGGATAGTCGAATCCACCAATCCTCAATGCATCAAAAAGTGAAAGATCGGGATTCGCCAATCGAGCTGCCACCGCCTTGTGCATGCGAGCATCTCCTTTGCGTCCAAGCTTTGAAGTCTTCGCATTACTATTCTCAGTCTCTCCTTCAGCGCTTGCAACATCTATCTTCTCATGAAGATTTGACTGGTCATGAGACATATTGGACTTCTAGCTTTGTGCCAGATTGTCCCTTCTCCAGAAAAGAAGAGGTTCTTGCGGCTCCCTTGTAACAGAGTCGTAGTTGTTGACAAATTGTGAGACCTCAGATAAAAATGGCCTTGCGGTGTCTTTTTTTAAAATAAAAAAGCAGTTTATCCATCCGCTTGCTGCAAGGCCATTTCGATCGAATGAGTCAGCTTCAGTTAGTCAAGTGCAGTGCAGTCTTCCGGTACTCTAGCACAACATATAATGACATTCGTTCCCTTCCGCCCCTCGCCCGTCCCAAATGCAAACTCGTAACGTGACTGACTGGACTGCCGAGTCCGGAGCAGATATATTAGAGCGATCGAAGGCCAACGGTCGTCGCCGATCTCAAGCCCAAGATCAATCATCTATCAACTACTCACAGCTGGTGCTTCAGACCCCCATAAATACACCCCAATAGCAATATCAATCACGGTCTATCATGCGATGACAGTCAGGATAATAATAATAATAATAAATCTGATGCATTAATCATGTTAAAACTATCTCAAGTTTCTAGATTGCCGTTAACGGCTGTCATGGCCATTTACCATACGGAGGTGAGTCCAGTACTGTTGAACCAGTT